AGACTCACAGACAGAGAGACAGACAGACAGACTCACAGACAGAGAGAGAGAGAGACACAGACCTGCTCTTGATCAGTGGACAGCCTCCCACTGACCTCGTGGATGGACAGATCTTATAGTTTGCTCCCCTTTCCTTTCAAGAAGGGATCAGACTTTTCAGCGCGACCCCCACCCCCCAGGTTGTGATCGTTTAATCACTCTCCCCCAGTTAAAGGGGGGCGGTGGTGGGGTTCAGACAGTTTATAAAACTTAGTTTAGTAAATAAATATACAAACAAAGAGAGAGAGAGAGAGATGAAAAGTACAGTATGAGGAAATATATTTCATAAAAAATATGCCAATAAGTAATTAATTAGATGATTTGAAGTCACTAAATTGCATTGCAAGTTATTACAATTCCTAAACAGCTTCTTGGTTAAAAAAAAGAAGTAAAGTGGGTGAAACTAGTGTGGATGGTGTTAGAGATGAGTGGGACGTTACTTTTTGGCCTGCTCATCAGCGTATTTGAAGGGGTAGTTGGCCAGCGTGGCTTTGTAGCCTGTGTTCTTCACCATGTTGTTCCATGTGACCAGTCGCTGCCCAATGGCTGTTCCCCGAGGCTCAAAACCCTTTTGGGGGAAGAAAGAAGGAGAAAGAGGTTTTGATAACGTGTGTTCACGGTGCTGATACAAATTGAGGACCATGTCATACAGTAGCTATCCATTCAACTTGGGACTAACATGCTTACATTTTAAAATCACCTTGCAACATTGCAATGATAATATAATAACCATTACCAGCTGTGCATTGAGAAAATAAAAAGAAGAAGTGGGCGTTCTTGACCACACGAGCCAATCAAAGCAGTGGCTGCAATCAGACGCCGTTTGAATCACACCTACTCAGCATTCAAGGAAAACCAAATGGAGTTGACCCTGATCTCACACACCATCTATACTGAGATACAGCTGAGAAAGATAGACTAAACAGCAGGCAAATTTGTGAATATGATTTTATAAGTTGCTGAAACTGAAAGCTGTGTGAAAATATTAAGGGTACTAATGCAAACAGAAATCAAGTTTTATGAGGCAGATTTTCCTCTGCACGTATAAACAGTACGAGCACTTTCACACTAGTCTGTATAACTAAAGCACTTTTTAATTCATGTATCTGTTTGGCGTTTGTCATTTATAAATGTCCCATATCTGAGCTGTGTTGCAGGAGAGCCTCTACAGAGGAGAGCATGGAGGCTCTGTACTCACCAGCAGTGGGTCAGAGAAGTCGGGCAGGTCGGGCACCAGGACGCCCACTAGGGCACACACCACGATGAGCACTGTGCACACCCCCAGCACCACCACCGGCCAATCAGCAATCAGCTCGGCATAGCTGGAAACAAGAAGGAAGTCAGTGAACACAGTGATGACATTCACAGGATGAGGTTTAATGAGGTTATTTTAAATTTAGACAGCAATGCTTACTGTTCTAGACACATTTTAGTCATTTTTATCCTTAATAGTTTCAGTCAACAACAAAAAGTTGTTACATTTTCATCAACGTTTAGTCAGAATGTTTTCTTTCTAATTTAGTTTTAGTCCTGTGTCAGATGCCCTCTTTTAGTCATGAGGTTATATTCAACATGTTAGTTAGTCTAGTCCAGCCAAACCAATCCTTTTGTCATTTTAGTCAAATTTATTTCACACAAGATTTTATTTTTTGTTAATGAGACCCTGGTGTGGACCGAACAACCGAACAGTCACCGCTTAAAATGGTGTGTCTGTCTGCTTCAAAGTGGACTCTAAACTACTAACACATCCATCTGCTGATTGTGGAATCGATTGATCTGTACTCAAGGCCATGGATATAAGAACGTCAGCCTGATTAATGGTTCAACAGCGGTTCTCCATTAAAAAGTGTGCGACAGCGATAACGCGCCTCACGACTCCCCGACATCCGCGCCATGCGTTCACATCTGCCAACGTGCAAAGGGGCTTTTGTACAGTCCCGTCTCTACCGTTATTCGGTATTATGTTATTATGCGGTCGCCTTGCAGTCTAACAATGCTTATAATCAGTTAGAAATCAAAGTACATAAATATAAACATCAGAAGCATTAAAGTGCTGCATAAACTTCTGTCAGTCGCTGGAATCTGATTTCCCCACGTTGGTCCTGATGACGCAGGATGATAATCTCTAAAACGGTCTAATCTACTGATTCACCTTCCAGCCTGTATGACTTCATGTTTACTCCTCTTGGTTGACTTGTGAGGAGTCAATGTTAACAGGAGAAACAGTGTTAGCAGCTGTCTCACATTTTGCTGCGTATACCGAGTCCCCATCCTGATTATTATTTTGCCCCTGAACCTTCCTGAAAGCCGTAATCCTCTATTAGACAGTGTGGATTGGTTTCGAGACAGCAGAGTTTACTGCAGCGATACAGAGAGAGGAGGAGATCCGAGCTGCTGGCTAACAGAGGAGGCCAGGTACAGAGAGAGAGAGAGACGTGACTCCCGCCGATAACTCTCATGACTCACTACTGAGGAATGGCGGCTCCGCGGGGCCGTGATGGATGGGTGACACAAATAAAATAAAAGGGAGGAGAGAGCTTTGCGATCCAGAACATTTTGGCAGGTCTCACCTTTTGGGGAATCGAAAGGGCCTCGCAGGGCTGAAAAACAGAAAGAGGGAGATGAATCAATGTTTTCAAGTCAAAGCAACAGGCGATAAAAAACACATTGGCGGAGACTTCAATGAGCAAAAGTGGACATCTTGTCTTTTTAATCCTCTGACGTCTTTCCAACAGCGGACTCTCGGGGTCACGGGGTCACTGGACCACGGAAAGCATTCAAACTGACGTGGCTGTTAAAACCACTTCCCAGGAAACGTCTCACAATACTCGTTGCTCCTGTTTTCAACACCTTTCAGATGTGACGGACATGATTACAGTACTCGCGTTTCTGACACACAGGTGCCACACACAGGAGGACAAGATGGATGCTACAGATTGACAAAGAGGTGAAAATTCTGCCAAGGGGTGGTTTTAACGACACACACAGAGGCATACAGCGTGAAGCCTTCAGCTGCTCAGGATCCGTCAGCTCCTCCTGGGGGCGGTGGGGAAGCGTCCGGTATGCCGTGAGCAGTGAGCATGGAGTGGAGGGGAAGAGGAGGAAGGGGGAGAATCAGATACGGCCACCGGATCACAGCGGGGTTTGGAGGAGATAAATGTTACATGGGCTAAAGGGGTCAGCGGGGGGGATGAGGGAATTAGTGTATGTGGAAAGAATACAGGGGGGGGGGGGGTCATACTTGTATCCTGGGGTTCTACTAGAAAATGTTTACATGCTTTATTGTAAAAAGCAAAACGAACATTATTTTTCTTATACGGTTTGTCTGAATATACCTGTAGTCACCCTTCATCTGAAACACTCCGTTTTAGCGCCCGTCTCTTTAAGAGCCCCCTACCGAAGTCTGCTCTGATTGGTCAGCGGTCCCCGGTCTTCCACATCTGCCTGTCTTCAGGCAGTGTGTCAACTACACTGAGTTCAGCATCACTTCTACAGGTGACTGCATCGTTGTGACGTCACATCCTTACTGAAGTCCGGACGACTCGTTTAAAGGCACAGTGCCTGAATACGGGCTGTGTGCGTTGAGCGTCTCGATACTTTCACAAGATTTATATAGCACCTAGACCTGCTTTATAATAGAAAAAAGAAATCTCTCTGGTGTAGGAGAGTAGACAAGAGTCTTCATTTCCCTGTGAGGACATTACTAACCACCAGGACCACTGATCCTTGGGTTTATATGCTGCCAGAAAAGACTACACTGTACAGATAAATTGTCTGCTTTAATAGCTTTGACTAAAAGCTTCTCAGTGCATCACAGATTCACTTCCCCACTCTAGGAAAAGTGGCCTTAATTGAACCCCCCAAATGGCAAAGAGGAACAGGAAGTGAGTCCTGGGGTGGGCCTCTGCTGCAGCCAATCAGGTCACGAGCACTCAGGACATTGGTCCCGTCTGAGACCCAAAGTGGTTGTTGTCGTATTTTTTGCCCGTTTTGTTGTCAAAGTTAAATTTGCGGAATGTTCTAATTAGTGGTAATGTGAGGCACAAATTAATTTGTGCCATTGGTGAGGAATTTTACTCTACGGGGGGTGGGCTGTGGGGAGGCCGTAAATCCCTTTAAATGTTTCACTGGACACATTAATATGACAGCCAGATGTAAAGTGGTCCAGGTTTAGAGACAGTCTCCAAAAGCAAACACACACAGACACAACATGCATCTCTGGACACTTCTGGAGATGCATATGTGATGTATGTGAAAAAGTGACTTGATCAAGTTTTTTTGTGTTCGAGGAGACTTCTTCATGCTCTCAAATATTGAATCATTTATTATAACAATATAAGTGACTACTTCCTTAGGGTGGACTTTCCCTTCATCAAGTGACCTTTAACCTGGTTTAAACCAACAATGCCTAATGAAAACCACATTTTCCCTGCGCTGCTTTCAACTAGCCGCCAAGGGAACATTCTGTATTGCTAATGTTATTCTTTTCACTATGCTCTTGTCTGTCCATGTATGGCCTCTTGACTGCAGACCTCAGGACACAGATATGGCCCAAAAATGGAGGAGAGGACATAGCTGGAGTGGATTCACGAGAGCGCTTTCAGGGCATATCTATCAGTCTGCTGAAGGTCTGTTTTGAATTTTGGTCTGCGGCACTCCAATCTGAATCCATTTTCAGCCGATTGGAAGGACGCGCAGCATACCTGAGTAGGCCATTTGGCCCGAGGACTTTAAAACGGCAAAGATGAATAGATCGGGAATCCATCCAGTCAATGGCAATAATTCATCCCCCTCTCATAAAAGCAGAGACCTTTCATAGCAATGGAAGGAGATGAATTCAAGATCTGGCGAGTTGAGAAAGTCAGTCTCTGGGACTTATATTTTGGGCTCAATCTGTCGACTAAACAAAGGGACCAGGCACCATCAGACCGATGCACATGGAAAGAAATGAAACGGTTAAATAAAAAAACACCACGTGGGGCGGTTGGTGGGTGCCAACAGAGAGAGGTAGAGTTGACTGATGATCACAGAGGCTCTAGATTCAGTAGTTCACTCTCTCCCCTGGCCCCGACTAACCTTTCAGTGTTATTCTATGTACCAGAGGGAGAGTGTTTCAGGATCACCGGGCTAATTAATAAGGTAAACACAGACCTCGGGCCGCTCACTCAGCACCGTGCTGACAGAGGGGAGAAGCGGAGAAGCAGATGGGGACTGTGTGTGTGTGTGTGTGTGTGTGTGTGTGTGTGTGTGAGAGGGACCTACACACATTTTTTTTAGGGTTTTCTGAGATGAAAGTTGACGAGCAAAAGAGAAATGCGGTGAGCTTTTTTGGTGGCGTGGGATTTCCCTGAGAGAGATGTACAGCGATGGCTCATTTAGAGCTTTAAGTGTGCTTGAAATGAGCGGATGTGTACCAAGTGTTGTGTGACCATATCTAAAGGCAGAGGGGCTGAGAACCTTTCTGAGTGGCTACAGCCTGGCGTCATAAAGAGGGCGAGACATGGTCAGAGAAACGGGACAGCCTCTCCTCTACGGCATCCATAATGTTCTAATTGTTGGAAGCAGACCTCCAATTTCAAAGTCAGAAAGGTGTGAGTGGCTTCCAGACTGCAATCTGACAGGCACTTCACTTGCAGCATACATGATGCCTTTAGCAATAAAAAAAAGTTAGTTTATGGGATGTGTGTATGGGCAAGAATACTACAGCATAACATATAGTACATCAGACGCTAAAATCTCAATCTCATTTCATATTTTTCTTCAAACGTGAGAAATTCTGCCAGGTTTGTGTTTTCAAAGGTCGAGGTGTTTGCACCAGGGAACATACAATATTGTGGGGAAATGCGTATTAACGTGCATGAGTCTGTATGTGTGTTATTGTAGAGGAGTGTATATGTGTGCCGGCAGGGTTCAGAGGCATGGGGGGGGGGGGGGGGTTGTCAACAGACGGCCGGGTAAATACTTTGTGAACGAGGCCTTCAAGTCGGAGCAAGAGCAATTAGTGTCAACCGTCGGGCTGCTGGGTCCGACTCGCCCCGATTTGTGCCTCGCTGGAACGCTGCACACACTTAGAGGTTGGACCTGGGCATGGAATAGACCCAGACTACCATTGCTACCATTGGAATGACATCATTAGACTAGTTAGGCAGAAAGCCACTGCACTGTGCCTGATAAGTAGGCTCGTGGGTGTATATTTACACAAAGACTCTCACGGCTACAGCAGCGCACTGAGAGGGATGTTAACAATCCCCCAAACGGAGCCCAGGGTGTATGACATTAATGCGGCTGTAAATGGGGAAACAGGGATAGTTAACAGTGTGTCAAGTAGAGACAGTTCAAGAAACAATTCCAATGTTTGAATATGAACTTTAAAGTTCTCCTATATTCATATGCTGACAGGAGAGTGTAAAGTGGGCCTTGTAAGTGGCATGTGATAAGTGGGTTGTCCAACAAAAGGCCTGAAAACTAATAAGGATGAAGTTAGTGGAGCCGTGTTTCTGTAAACAAGTAATAAAATCCATCAGTGCAAACTCTTCAAAACCTGTAACTCAATACATATGAGAAATACCTGAGTGTTAGAAGAAGAAGTGCTGTTAGGAGGATGCTTTGTGTATCTAAATGTATTTAATATGATCTTCAATACACTTCTTCTGGACCATTCTAACCTCAAGAAATGTGACAGACAACACTTGACAAAAGAAATCTGTCTGATTTATTGTCCGAGGACAATAAATCTAAAGACCAATGTTGCAATAAAAAAAAAAAAAAGCAGAGATGTGTGTTTATAATAAGTGGGCTACGCTAGATGTTCCGTGGTACATTACCCTCAGCAGCAGTAACAGTGTGATTCACAGGGCATCACGTTTCCAACAGGCCTCCAATAAAAAGTGGAACAGGCTCCGCGCTGTTTAAACACAAGAAGGTCAGCTGGGGACACTGTCCTCTTATTATCGCCAGAGACATTGGACATTTCACGGCACGTGTAGTAAACGTTAAGTTCTGTTGTGCGTTTCCTCACATCTCTGTGTAGGTATGCATGTGGTATAATGTCGGCCATGTTACTATGAGGACAACCTTTAGCTTCTATTTGTATTCATATTATCATGTGTGCCTTAATTTGTGAGCTGTGTCATCTATTAAAATATGTAAATGCTATGGGAATCAAAGCGAAAGAAATTCAACGTCCCCCCCCACAACGTTTCAAAGTGGGATTATCCTACGTGTTGCAAACACAAGTGGATCGGATACAACACACTGAAGAAGGCAGTTTCCCGAATACGTGTTCTTTAATTAGAGTAAATGGACAACAAATCATTGATGTTCGTTTTCTGCTAGTGTTAGCTAGCCTTAGCAACATGACTAATGCTACACAAGCTAACGTAAGCAGCTCTTTGTTCCAGAAGTCACCGTAGATGCTCGTTTCTGGCTGGTCCTGGCTTGCTTGTAGCTAGCGGTAGCATGAGCAACATGTCTGAGCCATACGTATATCTATATTCTGAAGCAGAAGGAATGGAGGTAATGTGTTTTCATGTCTGCGAGTCCACTGGTGAGCACGGCCTTTTCTGGCTGCACCTGCCGTTCCCCCGAATTCTTGGAGGTGAAATACAGGCCGCACAAAAATTCCAGGCATACAGGACTTCAGCACTTTAGCCAATAGTTACAAGCTGTCAGTCAGCGTGACGTCTTTATTATGGCTGCTCCTCGCCTCATCTTTATGTCTTTAAGCTCACAACCCCAGAAGCAGAGCACATGCGAGAGCATGGAGCAGCTGGTACAGAAACCTCCAAACAGATCTTCACATAACAAGAAGTGGTCCGGGGCATAAATAATGTAGGATCCTCTGCCATTAGAACCGCAGCCATTTATGTGATTAGTACACCTTGCTTCTACAAGGAGACATGTCATCTATAACTGTTAGAGTGCCAGCAGGAATCTCTCTTACAGATGAATGGATGTGCCTGGCCAGAAAATCGGAATCCAGAAATCTTTCTTTCCCTGCCAAAATTACAACGCATGGTTAGTGCAACTGTAAGCTAGCCAACTTTAAGAGGGCCTGGGTGGCCAGTGGGAACAAACAGCAGGGTCTCCCTAGAGGACCTCCACAGGTGGAACCAATGGTTTTCACCTGCTGCCGCATCAGAGTTCCTTTCACCTCCTCCCACAGGCATCTGTTAATACTCCTGGCTAAAAAAGAAGTGAGACAAATGCAGAGAGGACAGCCCCGGAGCAGGAATCTATCGAAGAATATCGTTCACCATCTATTCAGTATGGTTGGCAACGATAACATTCCTCAAGTGTGCACAGAATGATATTCAGTTATGCAACGCCGGACATTCATTTTGCGCTTTATTCAGTCTCTCTCTTTCTTTCTCTATGCTTCATCACATTGTTGTCAACAAAAAGAGTCAGATTTTGTGTCTGTGGTCATATAAATGTAATTCATGGTGCTGCTAGAGCGCCCCGTTAGAAGCAGGTACGTGCATGAGAGTAAACCGTTGATGTAGCTTCTAACTATTGGGTACAGCCAAAGTTCTTACCCAGAGAGACAAACGTCAGCTCTCATTAGCAAGAAGAATGCAAATGCCACGATTTGGATTCTTTGGTTTTGAACCAAACCTAAAAGAGCCAGAGAACTTATTTATGCGAGTCTCTCTTCTGCTTTTTTAGACGATAATTTCGTATATCGCTGGTTTCCTTAAATCAATACCATCAGTCAGGGAATTTCAATATCGTCCAACCAAAGTTTCACCATGCATTAAAAGAGAGCGATGCATCTTCAGGCAAAGGCAATATTTCTCATTCGAGAGACAATTCAGCTACAGACCATGCTGTTGGGGAACAGGTCAAAATGAATTCAAAGATATATGGTGATGAACCATGTATCTTTTTTTAAACGTTTTCCCCTCAGGGCCAAGAGGCAAGGCCTACACTGGACAGCCAATACAAACTACCTCCAATAATAACACATACTGTATACTAATGCTGACGGATTGCAGTGCCATAAGATCTGGCCCGTCTGCTGACTCAGACACTGCCTGTTACTTCACTGATCGTTGTTGATCTCATCCATTAGTGGGAAAGGTAGAGAAGGAAGGAATGTGATGTCCAGGTTCTCACTCCATTATTACCTCATTGCCACGCACCATCAATCTATTGTCCTCTGTGCTTTGTGTCCGACTCTGGGCCATGTGAGGACATGGTAGCTGCAGGTATTTCCGTCTCAGGCGAACCTTCATCTGGTAGATTCTCCTCCGAGGACGTTATCTGTCCGGTGTGTTTGCTTTTGGCAGCAGGGTTAAGGAATAAGTACTGGCCCCATTTTCGTAAAACTTGGTGGAAAAGTGAAGCATGCACCAAGTAAGAACCCATACAATTTTAGAGTTGATCCGAATCCCTTTTGTCAACACTACGACATCAGGCTTTTCGTCTGTGCTCTCCAAATGCCCCTCTAGTTTCCTTTGGCTTTGGAGAAGCGCTCTGGTGATATAAAGACACCTTGTAGCCGACAGTCGCTGCAGTCTCAATTATCAATCGTTACTTAGAGGGAGATCAAACGTATCTCAAAGAATGGAACTATGATATCTGATGCTATTTTGACCAAGATCATTTTAGGAGACCGTGCCCCAGGCCCTGAGGCTAGGAGCCTTAATGATGATGGCTGAGTCAAAGCCTGTCCTCCCTATTCCCTTAGAGAGACACTGTGTGTGTGTGTGTGTGTGTGTGTGTGTGTGTGTGTGTGTGTGTGTGTGTGTGTGTGTGTGTGTGTGTG